CACACTTAACTCAGACCATTTTATATTCCCAGAAATTCCTGTTTCACATACCTTATGGATGCCAGTCTGAGCCACCCTCTTGTTAAGACACTCCTCATAATTCCATATCATCTTCTTACCCCCATATCTTCTAATCACAACTTCTCTCACCCCTCCTTGTTTATAGTCCTTATGGCAATATGCCTTATTGACATTTACTTGTGTCCATGTCTCTTTTTAAACAGAAGTTCATGTATGATACTGGAATCACTAGAACAATAATGCTAGCTGACAGCTACTGCCTGTAAATGCCATCCCTGCTCGCATAGGTTCACCTTCACTATGATACTATGGTTCTGGTATTTGTTTCCAGTTTATACTTGGTAAACCAAAAGGAACCAATGAATGAACAAAAAAGAAAATAAAAACAGAAAAACATGCCTTGCACAAGAGAACTGGGAAAGAAAAAAGACCAATTTGGAATTCAGTTTCTTTTACATCAAAGATGAGACTCTCAATCTCCACCCTCCTGTCTCTGCATGAATAGGAACCTCCGGATTTGGATCAGGTAACCTCACAGAAGAGTGGGGAATTTTGGCATGCAAGCTCTGGGGACATCTATTTGTAATGTGGTATTTTGGCTCAGTGATATATGACAGGAATTTGGAGAATTGTGAACATGCTACACAACAGCAGGGAGAAAATAGAAGAACATAACCGCTCTACTCAAAGATAGAGCAGTTCTGAAATTGGAGTCTCCTTTTATTTCTTCAAATGAGTGATGAACTTGGAGTCAGATCCCTCAGTGTAGGACACATCTCAGTCTTTTTCCTGATAGTATAAGAATATTTTGTTGATTAAAAAATATGTATGTATATATATGTATGCTTCCTGCTCTGAGTATGACCTCTAGGGTCAGTTTCGTGTTTTGATTGGGTTTTTGAACTTTCTACCATGCTTGATCTCTAAACATCAGCAGTCAGATGATCACTCATTTAGGCAGAAGTATAGCATAGTTTATAGTTCTATAGTTTGTCCCCTGTGTAACCTATTAGCCTTTGTCCAGCCACAGCCTGTATGGGTGACATAGGCTGGCAGCTCCCTTCACAGTTCCCATGAGGCGCAGGCATTTGGGGGTGGCTGTAGAAGGTGACTCACCTGCAATTGGACGATGAGTGGTACCTACCAGAGGGGAGTGGGCAGTCAAGGGTTGTCAGAGGGGCAAAGGGAAGAAGCATTTAACAGAGAGAAAAAGTTAAGCTCAGAGACCAGGAGATGGCAGAATGGTTACATCAATGAACTTCCACGTAGTTGACTGCAGTTCAAGTCCTGGACCTGGTGGCTTAAACTTCATTATGGTATGTTATGGTATGGCTATCCTCCCTAAGGGGTGATTTTTCTCTCTCTGTCTCTGTTTCTCTGGTGAGCCTATGTGCCCTATAGCAAAAAAAAAAAAAAAAAAAAATTAAATTCTAATTTGAAAAAAAAAAAAAAAAAAAAAGTTAAACCTTTTTTTGGAAAAAAAAAAAAAAAAAAGATGAAAATATTTTGACAATCAAGAAAAAAAGTTAACTCACCCACATTTACTCCTTAGTGATTCAAGGTGCGACTGAGCCCTTCCCGCCTCACAGGCTTGTCTCTGAGGGAGAAACGCTGGCCGAGGAGGTCACCCAGCCCGACTACGAACACGGACCACACGTATGTAGTAGCCGGGCCTCGATCATGTCCGGGGAGCAGCGCGCCACTTACCACTCGGAAAACCGGAGCAACGTTCAGACACGACCAGGTTGGCGGTACTCCCCTCGGGGACAAAGCCCTGGAGCCTCAGCAGGAGGCAGCGAACACAGCCAGGCTGATCCCCGACTCTGCTGTGGCCACGTGGACAGTCATGATGACGTCACGTCTGAACTACACGTGACCGAGAGCAGGCGGGCAGATGGTACCTGCACCTGTGATCTCTGGGACCATTCACCCGGAGCCTTGTCCCCTCTCCTGGTGGACACGCACGTGCTGGAACCGGCCACGGCACCACGGCACCACTGGGGATGGCTGGATCAGCTTGGTGGGTGGTGGAGGGGACAGCACAGGAGGCACTGTGGACGGTGGTGGTGACCACTATCAGGAGACGAGGGTGGGAGGCACCTTCCAGGACACAGCCTGGGTCGGTGGTGGGAGGCTGACTTCCCTACAGTCCAGAGCTGTCTGCAAAATACCAGCTCTGTGCTCCACGCCAGACCAGGCCAGGGATCTTAGGAATGAAGCTTGGTCAGTAATTATGACAAAATAAAAGTGTAAAAGTGGAGACAACCAGATGGCATAGTCATGTCACTAGGTCCCCCCCCCCACACACACACACACATGGCAGACAGCAGTTGGAGTCCAAAGCCAGTGGCTTGTAAGTCTCACTGGGAGTGCCCAATATCCTGTGAGGAGAATGGAGGACAAGGGATTGCTGCTTGGCCATCTTCCCTGGGGAGTTTCCCATTTTCCCTCTCACTGTCTCTGTTTCTCTATTGCCAGTACATGTGCCCTAGGTCAAAAACTTAAAAAAAAAATAAAAAGTGTAAAAGGGTACACTTGGTCATTTCAGTAAGCACAACAGGGACTTATAAATGCATTGCTAAGTTCAGAATCGGTGTGACTAAAAATTGCTGCAACTCTGCAAAGCAATTAACCATAAGCTCTGAAATAGAAATAAAATTAATGATCACTTAAATATTTCTAAAATTAAAACTGAATATTGTGTGTTTGTAAAAGTACACTCTAGTTGTGAAGCTTCAGATGAACTAGTTATTAACAATTAAAAGTTCAGTTTAGTGCACCTTGTAATTGCAGTGTGGTGGTAAGTGCATAAACCGGCAATGTGTGTGCAGTAACCACTGGTATCCGTAGGGCTTTCACAGTTTACCAGAAATGTGAGACAAACGTGCATAACTACAAACCCTAACTTTTATTTGATGATGTTCTTTCTACAATTTCTGATGCATTTATTCTCTCTTTATATGTTGCTCGTGAGAACGTGTTTCATTGTGTACAAATACAATGAAAATTCCCTAACTTAAGTTGGTAGTTGGCATAACAATTCTAATATTTTTAATTTATCTTCCCATAGGTCTACAAGGAAAAATAACTATTTCCTGAATGAGTAGATTCAATTGAATGCATAATACGTCTTGTTTTTTTTTCTTAACTTACCTATACTAATTACCCTTTCTTTGAATTTTGTGCAGATATAAGTAATTTCTTTCCCTCCTGGCTACTTTTAGTCCCTGTGGAGAGCAGTCATTCTGAACAAACACAGTGACCTTCAGACATATGCAGAAACACTATTTGTGAGCTTCATTTGCATAGCTATGAAAGCATTAAAATACGAATATGCTAACTGCTGATACTGCAAAGCAGTATGTCTAAGGTAGCCACATGAGTTGTTTGGATTTTGGTCCAAAAGATTGGAAGAAACAAAATGGCACCAGTTCTTTTCCCATTACCAGCCAATTAACATTTGAAACCAACTGGATTTGTATTCGATTTCTTCTTCTGCCATTTTTTGCTCTATAAAATAATAAACCACAGGTGATTCGAGGTCATGGCTTCCTCCATCAGAGAAGCCTCGTCTTCCAGATCCTCATTTTTCTATACTTGTATGTCGCTGTGTGTTTGTTTTTACATTTATTTCTAATCTACAGACTCCCCACACACACTCACTCAAAAAAAAAACAAAAAAACAAAAAACGAAAAAAACAAAACAAAACAAAACATGTTCAACCGAACAGGTCTCAGCAAGGCCCTGCACCCAGGCATGAGATAACATTTGTAATTCCTATACAATGTTGAGTGAAATTACTCTTGATTCCTGTGGATTAAGGCAGAATGTTTCATAACATGTTCACAGAGCATATTTTCTGAATCACTCTTCTCAGGGCCTGTATCACATCCTTATTCCTTAGACTGTAGACTATGGGGTTGAGCATTGGGGTGAGGATGGTGTAGAAGACAGCCAGAACCTTGTCCTCTGTGGGAGATCGGAGGGATCTTGGGCGTAGGTAAGTGTAAGCAAAGGGTGTGTAGTAGAAAGTCACCACAGTGAGGTGGGCAGTGCAGGTGGAGTAGGTCTTCCTCCTCCCTTCTGCTGAGCTCATGCGGTACACAGCAAGGAGGACTCGAATGTAGGAACACACAATACCAAAGAAGGGGAGCACAAGGAAGAGGATGGTGCTCACAAACACTGTGTACTCATAGACCCTGGTGTCCATGCAGGCCAGGGTCAGCATGGTGGGAACATCACAGAAGAAATGGTTGATGGCCCTGGACTGGCAATAAGGGATGGAGAGTGCATACGTCGTGTGGGCACACGAGTTGATAGAGCCCATCACCCAAGACCCTGTCACCATCAGCACACACACTCTTCTGCCCATTCGGACATGATAATGGAGAGGACAGCAAATAGCCACATAGCGGTCATAGGCCATGGATGTCAGGAGCAGTGTTTCTGCACCTCCCAGAGTCAAAAAGAAGAAACTCTGAATCCCACACCCCATGAGGGAGATAGACTTGCTTCCAAACAGAAAGTCGGAAGCCATCTTAGGGACGATGGTGGAGATGTAATGAATGAGAGATAGCTGACGCAGCAGGAAATACATGGGTGTGTGGAGACGGGAGTCCAGGAGGATGAGGAGCATCATGGACAGGTTGCCAATTAGTGCCATCAGGAACATGAGAATAATGAGAGCAAAGAGCAAAAGGCCGGCTGCTGACGGTGGGAACAATCCCAATAAGATGAAATCACTCGATGTTTGATTACAGGTTTCCATGGGGCATTCATGTGCTTTTTCCTAAAGGGAGACACAAGCATAGTTAAGTTAAATAGCAAACACCCAGCACACAATTCACACATGAACCTTCACAACTCAGTCCTGCCTACCAAGTACTCTGAAGTTTATTATCTTCTAGCAAAGATCAGTCTCTTTTTGTCCTTCAAAGTCTTCATTAAGATAATCCTCTGGTTGTGGTTGCTCTTTTGCAATTGCTAGATTACAATGCTGGGCTAGAAAAGTTTAGGTTATTTTATGGTATGAATTCTTTCATATAGCTTCCCTAAGCCTCTCTGCCAGGCAGAACTGTTCATGGTGCCAGGTCATCTTCCCAAGAGGTTCTGTTGGCTTTCTTGAGATCTGTATTACTTCTATAGTTTTCTGGTCATATCTTCATATATGACATTCCAGTCAAAGCTTTGTCAATTGCGAGTATTTCCAATTTCTGATTCAAAGCAACAGGTATTATTGAACTTATGCAAATAGCCCTTCAGCCACAAAATAAGAATACTCACAAATATTTTCCAATTCAAGAGGGACCAGTAAGGGAGAAAATTTTATGTTTCAATTTAAAGAAACAAACAAACATAATTTAAACGAGTTTCTGAGCCTGTCAATAGATCAAAAGAAGCATATGTTGGAATATTCACTTTACAAGCTAAGTAGCATGTGATTGAATGTATAAAAGAAATTGAAATAAAAAATTAAAGAAAAAAATTTCAAATATATTGTTAGCTAATATTTTTTAAACAACCAAGAATTTTCTAATGTAAAATGAGTAATTTAAAAAGAATTAACTGCAAACACTTTTTAAAATTTGAGTAAAAATCTTGATGTAATTAATAATAAATTATTAGAAGTTCCATATTAAATCTTTATTTTTGGAGAAAAAAAGAAAACAAAGCATAGTAAAAAAATCAGTTATGTTTTAGTCAAAAGTCATAAAATTTTATTTCACCAATTCGGTCTCATGTAATTAATCTCTCTTCTGTTGAATTTATAGTGTTACTGTGGTCTGATCTTTGTTTAAATGCTGGGAGTTAACATTCAACATTATTAGTTATATTTCTGGACTTGTTCCTAGCATTAAGTTGGTCATTTTCTTGGTTGCTTTTTGTTCTCTTATTTCTGTCTGTGTGTCTTTAGTTTTCCTGGTAGAGCACTCCCTTGAGAACCTCTTTAAGAGCCAGTCTGGTGTTGGTAAATTCTTTCGGGTTTTGTTTATCTGAGAATGTTTTGGTCTTTTCTTCTCATATAAAAGATAATCTTGCCAGGTATAGTATTCTTTGGTTGAAACTGTTTCTCACTTAACACTTTGAATAGATTTTTCCATTCTTTCTTTGTTTCTGATGAGAGGCCTGATGTTAACCTGATGGGATAACCTTTACAAGTAACCTGACATTTCTCTCTTGACAATTTTAGTGTCTCATCTTTGTCTGTGGATTTGGCCAATCTGGCTATGATGTGCTTTGGAGAAGATCTTCTTGGGTTGATTCTATTAGGGGTCCTTTGTGTTTCTTGGGTCTAGATGTTCGATTGCCTCTAGGTTTGGAGAGTTTTCTTCCAGGATTTCATGGAATAGCTAATCAATGCCCTTATTAGTTTCTTCACCTTCTGGGATAATAATTATCCGGATGTTTGGGCACTTAATGGTATCTAGTATTTCTCGTATATTGTTCTCATTTTAGGGGGTTATTTTCTTAGTCTTTTTGGTGACTTTTTTTATAGGTCAGATGTTTTGTCTTCAACATCTGAGATTCAATGTTCTGCATGGTCCATTATACTTTTAATAGTTTCAAGAGAAGTTTTGATTTCCTGTATTACAACATTCATCTTTATCAGTTCCATTTGATTCTTTTTTATGATGTGCATTTCTTCTTTCGTCAGTTCCATTTGATTCTTTTTTATGATGTGCGTTTCTTCTTTCAGGTCACAGAACTTACTCATCTCCTGGAGCTCGTTGTCTCTTTTCTCTTGCACTTTCTGGAGTTTATTGTCTCTCATCTCTTGCATCTCATTTAGTTTTGTCACTATGAAAATTTGGAATTCTTTATCTGACATTTCCACAAGTTCCATTTTACTGTCCGTGCATGATTAAGGGTTGTTCTTCTCCCTTGAGGGAAAGATATTTTCTTGGTTTCTCATATTTCTTCGGCCTCTGTGGTGGTGTCTGGTCATCCGATGATATTTTCTTGGTTTCTCATATTTCTTCTGCTTCTGTGGTGGTGTCTGGTCATCCGAAGGATTATACGTTTTTTCTTAATTTCTTAGAGTTAATTCTGAGCATTCAGAGTTGTGCAGGAGTAGGCAATCCGCAATCTCAGCAGTGCTGTTTCCATGAAGCTCGCCAAGCACCTACACTTCTGACTTTGGAACTGGGTATTACAAAGGCCTCACAGTTTTTAGGGAGTAGGTGCACTTGGGCTGAGCTGCAGGGTTTTAACTGAGAGCTCAGAGGATGGGAGTAAAGGAACTGCACTCTCTGCAGCTCCGTCCTCCCTGCTGCTCACTCTGCAGTCTCTCTTCTCTAACTTTAGTCACTTGGTAGTGTATACACTTTTGGCTAATTGCTCAGAGAAAGCTTCTACAACTGTAAGAACAGGTGCTTCCCTTTACTGTAAGGTACTTCTGAGACGATTTCTCTCCTCTACTATGTTTTGCAATGTGGTATCCACAGAAAGAGATTTTTAGTTCAAATTTATAGAAAGGAGTTTACCTCTTCGGGTAGGGGGTACAGTAAGTGTTGAGGATTTCTATAACCCTAAAAGTATTCAGATGCTTGGCTACTATGTACCCATGCCTTTTCAGATACTCAGCATGTGAGGCAGAACAGTAGAGTGAGGAAGTAAGGTAAAAAATAGGAAAAGGAAAAGAAGAAAAATAAAGTAAAAAAAAAAAGTCTAGACAAAAGCAATGAAAAGAGAAAAACAATTTAAAGGTAAAAAATAAAAACCAGCAGAAAATCAAAGGTGATTTAAAAGTGGCTTCTGAAATTAGCAAGAGAAAGCAGAGGCCAGAGGTAAGAAAAAGTGTTTTAAAAATTAAAAAAAAAATTTAAAGAGAGAGAGAGGCAGAGAGAGGACATAAGTTGTCCTACCTGAGTGAGGGTTTCTGGGGTCTGGAAGATGGGGTTTAGAGCAGAGCCTCAGTCGCTTTGGCCTCTGTATATGGTCGACTTTGACTTGACTAATATGCACTGTAGTCATGCTGGGGAAAACCAAGCTATACACTGTAAACATGTAGTGTGTAAATGTAATTTTTTTGGAAAGAACAGAAATAAAAATAAATTGCTAGTGCAGCAAAGTTTAAAATCATTTCTAGTTTAGTAGTTTATACAAGGCTCCCTATGGCACATTTTTCATGAGCTACTGAAAGAAATCTTCCCCAATGGGAGACAGTCATGCCACAATTCCTTTTCCTCCACTTCTCCCTCCCTTCAGGATTTGGGCAGGTACGTGCACACACACACAGTGTATTTTTTATACTGCCAAGCCTAGGACTTGAATACCACCGTCGGCCATATGCAATCCAGCCACCTCAGCCATGATACCACCACCTGGTCCCTGTATGTTTATCTGGATACTAAGAAGAGGACTTTTTTTCTTATGAAATATAAATTCAAATGGGTTATTCTGTCACTTTTATTCTATTTATCCAGTGAAATGGCTAAAAGTGACTTATTTAGAGCCCATTTAAGAATATTTTCATAGCCTTTAAATAAAGTGTGCAATTAAAAAACTTAAAATGTAATTGGTGCATCAGCATTAATATCATTATACAGAGGAGAACGCAGAAAATAACTTGGTGATTTACTAGTAAGTAAGAGAAACAATCCTGGAACCTGTACTGTGTCTCACATGAAAGAAAAGACAGGTGCACAAACTTCTATGTCCTGTTCCCATCTGGAAGGGCTCCTACCAGCATTTGTGAAGGTGCTCGCATCACCTCCTTTGTAAATAAATGCGAGGATGTTCATATTCCACATAACGAGTAAAATCTCCCAAGTACCGTTCATGTTTCAAAATAAATGACATATCACCATTTGTTGAAGTAAAAATGCAGTGTAAATAAGTGATTCACATATTGATAGAAGACACAGATTTTTTAAATATAGTCCCATTGTCATAAGGATGAATAACTGAATCAAGATTTTTGAAGGGAATTTTTCAAGTGAGTGACCAAATGACAGAGCTGGGAACAAATGGGTGTGCTTTGGAGTCCAGATGAAGCAGTTTTCTACTGTAACACGGATTCTGCCTCTCCCCTTCCCCTCCAAAATCTTCTTCATTTTGACCAAAACTAGTTTGAAAGCAAAATAATTATTAGGGGCCAGCAGTTAGTATAATGGCTATGTCGCTGGACTCCCATGTAGTCGACCGCGGTTCAAGTCCCAGACCCGGTGGCTTAAACTGATGCAGGGTGCGTATGCGTGCGTGCCCAAGATCCCATCCCGAGAGAAGAATGGAGGAGAAGGGATTGTGGCGTGGCCATCGCCCCTGGGGGGTGATTTCTCACTTTCTGCCTCTCTGTCTCTCTGTCTTTCTGGCAAGCACACGTGCCCTATAGCAAAAACCTCTCCAAAAGAAAAATCATTATTGATCACAAAATATGGCAGATCATATTAGATTTGGCATGATAATTTGCAAAGATGCAACAAAAGTGTGGGCTTAACAAAAAATCTACCTCAAATTGGTTTGGCTGGAAGTTCTTTTTGTTTTGTTTTGTTTTGTTTTGTTTTTGGGTTTTTTTGGAGAGGTTTTTGCTATAGGGCTCATGCGCTCGCCAGAAAGACAGAGAGAGACAGAGAGATAGAAAGCGAGAAGAAAGCGAGAAATCACCCCCCAGGGGGGATGGCCAAGCCACAATCCCTTCTCCTCCATTCTCCTCTTGGGATTTTGGGGATGCACGCACACATGCCTGGCGTGAGTTTTAAGTCACCAGGTCCGGAACGCAAACCACGGTCAACTACATGGGAGTCCAGTGACATAGCCATTACCCTAACTGCTGGTCCCTGGCTGGAAGATTTTTTTTTTTTAATTTTTCTTTTAGAGGTTTTTAGCAGAAAAACAGAGACAGAGATACAGAAAGTGAGAAATCACCCCCCTCCCCAGGGGGGATGGCCACGCCGTAATCCCTTCTCCTCCGTTCTCCTCTCGGGATCTTGGGCATGCACACACATGCGCCAGACTTGAGTTTAAGCCACCAGGTCCGGGAGTAGAACCGTGGTCGACTACATGGGAATCCAGCGACATAGCCATTACGCTACCTGCTGGTCCCCCTGGCTGGAAGTTTTTAAAAGTAATCTCCCGACATTTTGAACAGCCTCTAAAAGTCACAGACATTTGTAGAAAACTGGATCACTCCCTCCATCTTCTGTGTAAATAAAAGCGAAAACATACATATTGTGCACAATGAGCAAACTCCCCAAATATTAACCAAGTTTCACAAGAAATTATCAATTTATCTTATTTGTTGAAGTCAAAATGCATTGCTTCCCTGCCCACACATTTCGTTTTGGTGTAAGAGTAGAAAATTAGATAATGAGGGGCAGGCAGGAGGTGCTGTGGTTAAGGCACGGGACTCTCACATGGCCGACTGTGGCTCAAGTTCCGGACCTGGTGGCTTGCTTTCTCGCTTTCCTTTGCTCTCGCTCTCTGGTCAAATTAAGAAATAATAACAACAATAAACAAAATTTAATAAATAATTCTAGAAGATTCGGTATCGAAAAAGTATTTTAGCAATTCACATATTCAGAGGAGATACAGGTTTTTTCAAATACAGGCTAATTGTCATAAAGATGAGCAACTGATCAGAGTTCTGTCTTATGGTGTGGCCCAGTGACAGAGCTGGGAACAAAGCAGTGTGCTCTGGAGTCCAGATTAAGACATTTCTCATTAAAGCACAGATTTTATTCCCATTTGTTTTGAAATGAGGGTGGGCTTATTCTGCTTCATCATACCAGTTCACTGCAGATAGTCAGGGTAGGTTTGAACCTAGATCTTATTCTAGCTCTTACACTTAGGGAAAGGTGAACTCTGTAGGTAAATTTGAGTCTCTGAGACTACACTTTAAAAGTAGAACAGAAAGAGCCTGGGCTGTTTGCTCTGTCTGAGATGACACCTGCTAGACGCACAGGACACGGAAGGTAAAACAGCACACATGACACAGCACCAAGATTACCATCACTCATGGCAAAGCAAAACAAAGGAAAGAAAAAAATAACAGAACAACAAAAACTCAACCCGGGTCTAGAAAACGTCGGCCTCCGTGGCCCTCGCTGTGAGCATGGCCTGTGTCAGGGTGACTCAAGTTCGAGTTTCCCGTGGGCCCACAGAAGCGCGCTCCAGCGTGGGCGCCCCGAATTCCGCACTGGCCTCGTTCCCCTCCTGCAGAGAGCGCGTGGACGAAGGCGCTCCCGGCCGCTGTCCTCGCCTGCACCTCCGCCGACGCCCCTGTCCGTGTCGGACCCCTTGTCCAGGGACTCCACACAAATCTGTTTCTGAAACAAAGTTCCCCAAAACTCTCATCAGAGCTCATCCCCCATGTGGTCGTGGGAAACAGCTACAACTGGGACTAGTACCTTTCATTATCTCCGAGTGGGCGCAGACTTCGGCCGTAGGTGGAGCAGCGCTTCTGCAGGCACCGCGTGAGCAACGTCCCTGTTCTGAGTAGCTTCCCGGGTCCTCCGGGGGACACGTGTGTACCGCTCACTCGGCCCTACGCGTGGCGTTGTAGAGGCTCCACGGAGAGCAGCAGGCAGCACCTCCCGCCTGTTTCCCTGCGCAGGGAGTCTGCTTGCTGTGTTCACCTGGGACCATTCACGAGGCTCGGACAGCAGAGGGCGAGTCACTAATGACGCAGGTTGGCCTTAGGCCAGGGGGAGGCGTGAGTTCTGGCACTGCATTTAGCTGGTTTCAAGATGTGCCACAGTGTGAAAATAAATGAATATTTTTATTCAGATTACCCCAACATCATAGTCTCTAATATTTTAAGAAACACTATGTTACATGGCTATATTTTATGTCATTATTCAGTATATGCATAATAATGTTTATTTGTGTCGATTTCTTTCACAATTTTGCTTATATTGGCAAAAATTTAGTAGATTAAAATAGATTTACGTAAATTTCCTTTTTTTCTTAGAGGTTTTTGCCTTAGGGCACGTGCACTAGCCAGACAGTTACAGTGAGAGGGAAAGTGAGGAATCACTCCCTAGGATCACGGCCACGCCACAATCTCTTCTCCTCCATTCTCCTCCTGTGATCTTGAGCACAAACACACACGTGTCCAGCATGAGTTTCAAACCACTGTGTCCAGGATGCAACTGGGGTTGGCTGGGCGGAAGTCCACCAATGTAACCACTACCACATCTGCTTGCTAGGGAAATTTAATAAAAATATTTGTTATACATATTTAAAACATCTCACCCACAAAAAGGAGTAATCTTTAACATATTAACCAAATCATCACTGCTGCATCTCCTGGTACCCAGAATTAGACTAACAACAGATAGGCTTTATTTTTTAAGAACATGATTTGCAAGCTCTCCGGGATACTAGACAATGTTTATCTCATTGGAGCCAGCTTGCTTAACCTTTTATTTAAAAAAATATATTATTATTTATACATTAAATTGCTATACATCATTTAGATTGTAAAGAGACTTTACCCAGCATGATATACATCTCGGATCAGCCCAGTTGAGAATACTGTGCACGTCATCATCAATACTCACCAACAGGTAGTAAACCATATCTGCATGCTTAATATTAAACAAAGGATGGAGACAAGTCTGGCACGTTATTATAACTGCTGAGCAATATAAACATTCGAAAGGTTCCAGCTAACATCCGTGACAATAGGCCCAGTGTTCCAGTCTCTGGAGCCTAGTAACATCTCCCTGTCTCTCATTTCTGGGGCAGCCATCCTTTTCCTTCTCCTCAGTAGTATCCACTTGTTACACCCCTGAAGTCAGGCAAAATGCTAACCTAGATCCAAACTTATAAGTTGTAATTCTATATTTATCTATACTCTCAGGTATGTGAACAGTTTTTTCCTAAAAAGAGTGACAAAATGGGGACCAGCAGTTAGCATAATGGCTATGTTGCTAGACTCCCATGTAGTCGACCATGGTTCGTGTCGTGGACCTGGTAGCTTAAACTCATGCTGGGCGCATGTGCATGTATGCACTAGATCCTGAGAGAACAGAGGAGAAGGGATTGCAGTGTGGCCATCCCCCCTGGTGGCTGATATCTTACTTTCTGTCTCTTTGTCTCTCTCTGTCTTTCTGGCAAGCACACACGCCCTATAGGGAAAAAACAAAAAACAAAGCAACAACAACAACAAAAAAACTCTCCAAAAAAACCACACAAAAAAGTGACAAAATGACAGAGATGAATCAGCATGTACTGATAACATTAAGTGTTAATGGATTAAATTTCCTACTAGAAGACACACCTCAATGGATTAATATAACAGAATCCCTCTATATGTTGCTTACAAGAAACACACTTCATGATCAAAGGTATGCATAGATTGAAAGGGAAGAGCTGGAAAAATATTCTTTCATGCAGACAGAAATAAAGGGAAAGAAAAAAGACTGTAAGATCAAAGGGTGAAAAAACTGCAGCATACAGCATACTGATTGTAGGGAACTCAATGTAACTACTGGACAGGTCATCTAGACAAAATCGATACCATAATCCAAACGGACCTGGCAGACATATATAGAGCATTTCATTCAGGAACTAGAAAATATTTTTTCATCATTTCTACATGGAACAGTTTCAGATATTGACCAAAGATTGATATGGTGAAAAAACAAATAAACAAACAAAAACAAACAAACAAAAATAACCCACTATGAATTTTAAAAAGTATAGAAACCATATCACCTTTTCTAATCAAAATAGAATTAAACTTGAAATCAACCACAGTAAGAGTTCTTGAAAATACACAAAAACATGGAAACTAAACATCTTACTCTTCAATGACTTCTGAACTACTAAAGAAATTAACACTGAAATTAAATGATATATTGAAACAGCATAATGAACACAACAGTCTCCATAACCTTTGAGAAACAATGAATGCCATTATAAGAGTGAAATTCGTAGCAATTAGTGCTCGTGAGGAAACAAAATAGAAAGGTGGCAAATAAATAACTCAGCATCACGTTTCAAGGAACTGGAAAAGGAACAGCAACAAAACCCATAAATAAAAGAGGAGAAGAAATAGTAGAGAGTAAAGCTGAAATAAATACAAAAGAGGATGAAAGAATTATTATTACTTTTTAAGGAATTATTTTTATTTAACTTTATTTGTGTATTTTAATTTGACCAGAGAGGGACAGAGTGAGAAAGAGAAAGTGAGAAAGCAAGCCGCCAGGTCTGGGACTCTAACCGCAGTTGGCCATGTGGGAGTCCAGCGCCCTTAACTACCATGCCACCTGCCAGCCCCGAAATAATTATTTTTAAAAAATGAAACAAAAAACTGGTTATTTGAGAGGATAAGAAAATTAAAAACTATTAACTAGACTAATATGAAAAACAGAGGAAAGAACCGATAGATAAAATCAGTAACACACCTGGTAATATTACAACTGCTATCTCGGCTATAGCAAGAATTATAGGACAATACTACAAGTGACCATATGACAACAAACTAGAACACTGAGATGAGATGGACAAATTTCTGGACAGGTACAAGTTACCTAGGTTGGATCAGGGTGTAATAGAAAGCCTGAATAAACATTGACAAGTAATAAAATCGACAGTAATAAATAGTCTCCCAGTTAAGAAAAGCCCAAGTCTTGATGGCTTCACTTCTGAATTCTACAAAAGTTTTCAAGAAGAGCTAACCCAAATTCTCCTCAAAGTCTTTCTAAAGATCCACAAAGAAAGAACTCTCCCAATTTCATTTTATAAAGCCTCCATCAACATAATACCAAAAGCAGACAAAGACAACAAACAAACAAACAAAAAGAAAAAGAAAAAGAAAAAATGACAGACCAATATCTCTGATAAATACTGAGACAAAATTCCTCAACAAAATACTACCAAACCAAATCCAACATCTATTTAAGAAGATCATATACCTCAACCAGGTAGGTTTTATCCAAGGAATGCAAAGATGGGTCAACATGCAAAACAATAAATGTAATATATCACATTTACAGAAGAAAAGATACAAACTATAGGATCACACAAATAGATGGACAAAAAGCATTTGATAAAATGCAGCACTTCCTAATCAACACTCTCAGAAAAATAGGTACAGAAGAGACATTTCTCAACACACTTAAAACCAAATATGGCAGACCCACTACCAATATTGCACTGAATGGAGAAAAGCTGGATATCAGATCCTGAGAGAACAGAGGAGAAGGGATTGCAGTGTGGCCATCCCCCCTGGTGGCTGATATCTTACTTTCTGTCTCTTTGTCTCTCTCTGTCTTTCTGGCAAGCACACACGCCCTATAGGGAAAAAACAAAAAACAAAGCAACAACAACAACAAAAAAACTCTCCAAAAAAACCACACAAAAAAGTGACAAAATGACAGAGATGAATCAGCATGTACTGATAACATTAAGTGTTAATGGATTAAATTTCCTACTAGAAGACACACCTCAATGGATTAATATAACAGAATCCCTCTATATGTTGCTTACAAGAAACACACTTCATGATCAAAGGTATGCATAGATTGAAAGGGAAGAGCTGGAAAAATATTCTTTCATGCAGACAGAAATAAAGGGAAAGAAAAAAGACTGTAAGATCAAAGGGTGAAAAAACTGCAGCATACAGCATACTGATTGTAGGGAACTCAATGTAACTACTGGACAGGTCATCTAGACAAAATCGATACCATAATCCAAACGGACCTGGCAGACATATATAGAGCATTTCATTCAGGAACTAGAAAATATTTTTTCATCATTTCTACATGGAACAGTTTCAGATATTGACCAAAGATTGATATGGTGAAAAAACAAATAAACAAACAAAAACAAACAAACAAAAATAACCCACTATGAATTTTAAAAAGTATAGAAACCATATCACCTTTTCTAATCAAAATAGAATTAAACTTGAAATCAACCACAGTAAGAGTTCTTGAAAATACACAAAAACATGGAAACTAAACATCTTACTCTTCAATGACTTCTGAACTACTAAAGAAATTAACACTGAAATTAAATGATATATTGAAACAGCATAATGAACACAACAGTCTCCATAACCTTTGAGAAACAATGAATGCCATTATAAGAGTGAAATTCGTAGCAATTAGTGCTCGTGAGGAAACAAAATAGAAAGGTGGCAAATAAATAACTCAGCATCACATTTCAAGGAACTGGAAAAGGAACAGCAACAAAACCCATAAATAAAAGAGGAGAAGAAATAGTAGAGAGTAAAGCTGAAATAAATACAAAAGAGGATGAAAGAATTATTATTACTTTTTAAGGAATTATTTTTATTTAACTTTATTTGTGTATTTTAATTTGACCAGAGAGGGACAGAGTGAGAAAGAGAAAGTGAGAAAGCAAGCCGCCAGGTCTGGGACTCTAACCGCAGTTGGCCATGTGGGAGTCCAGCGCCCTTAACTACCATGCCACCTGCCAGCCCCGAAATAATTATTTTTAAAAAATGAAACAAAAAACTGGTTATTTGAGAGGATAAGAAAATTAAAAACTATTAACTAGACTAATATGAAAAACAGAGGAAAGAACCGATAGATAAAATCAGTAACACACCTGGTAATATT